TTCTCCTACGCACAGTCCGCACAGTTGCGGCAGGTGACGGCAGGTGCAGGCAACGTAGACCGACCCACCGGTCCAACCAGGCTGACGGGGACACGGGCCACTATCACGAACGGCAGGTGCACCCCCCGGCGTAACGTCACGTCTCCAGTGAGGGAGGACGCATGACGCCATGTTCCGGGAAACGTAACGGGGCTGGAGCCGGACACAAAGCCACCGCCAGCGTCCCTGGCACCGGCGCTACCGCCTCAGGCGGCTGACTCACAGAGACTATCTGTGACTCTTGACTGATGACTCTGTTTCTCAACATGTCCAACAATGACTCTGACTTGAGTGATGAGAGTATTGCGTTAGGTCGTCGAACACACAGAGCGGTCACGGGTGAACGCTTGGCGCCATTCCTATTGGTATGTATTGTCCACTGTTCTAAGATCCGGTGAGCCTACCAATGTTACCAGCTAAGTCCCATGTGCCAGCCCAGTGAATTGGGTACATACCTACACTCTCCTGACTCAAAAAGAATCCCGCTAAAGCCGCTCACGCCGCCGCGACCCGTTCCAAACAGCACGGGGCAGGTCACGGTCAGAATCACAATGGCTGGCCGGTCCCGGGCCGCGGGCGGTGGGCGAGGGACAGGTCGGCTGCCGGCGACTGAGGTCTAGGACATGCAGAGGCCAATTTCTCAGAAGCATTCCCGGTCTCAGTTATCAGTACCTATTCACCCGTCAGCAAGGTCCTGTATATCTCGTCGGGACATGTTCCCTGTTCTCTCAGTGAATACCGGACGACTATTCGCAAACCTTCAAGGGTATAGAAACGACAGTTGCAACTGTCGATGCGAGAGCAAGCACATAAATGAATGATGCTTATGATAGAATAGTGAAACTATGGAGGAAGAGAGCTCGATTTTACGTTCGAGTTGTTCTAGGCCGTATGCTTGACGTCGGAAGTTCAGGAAGTGTTCCATGACATTTAAACCAGACAACTGACCGTAAGCTGGATCATCTGGGCTAGTCGCGCATGCAACAAGCTGAACTTTGCGTGGCAACTGAAACTAAGGCCAATTAATGAGACAATTTCACGGGTTACGGATGTTAAAATCCCGATAATGTGTCCTACTTCACTTGAAGAGGAATTTTCGCTTAGCACCTCTGCATCAATTACATTTCCGTTCCAGGGGCGGCGGATTCGGGGGGGCAGGGGGGCAGCTGCCCCCCTGGCAAACTCGAGGGGGGGCAAAAGTATCTTTTTGCCCCCCCATAATTTGTGACAAAACTTAGACATGAAACATATACCTGATTATTCCGTTCGATCATCGGAATAATCAGAAAACTTATATATGTAACCAGATGCCCATATACACTATCATACGTTGCCTTTCTTAAATGACAAGTGTTCGCGTTCAATTCAAGTTTTCCTCTCTTCAACCTAGTTTTGGAGACATTATAAGCGTCAACGTGACGCAGCGGCAACCCAGGCCTTCAGTGACCGCTTACAGGGGCGACGGATACGGAGCGGCAGAGGAGGCATCGTTCCCTAAGAAACTTCTGGAGGAGGGACAAACGTATATTCTTGCCCCTCCATAATTTGTGCCCTAAACATGAGGAAAATTTCCATAGCCTGTTATTACAGCTATGCGCTCTTACAGTTTTCCCAACGGTGCCTTTTGAATATGTGTAAATGCTAACCATTTCCGCTTTATAGCATTTTTTGTCTTTTCAGATTCGATTTAGGGAAATTTTTAGTGTGCAAGAGACGCAACTCACACCCTCAGTGGTCGTTTGCCGCTATTTTGTACCTACATGAATGCCAAATCGCAAGCGAGCGGAGACGGAAGGGCTAGCCATTCGCTTGCGGGTAGTTAGGACTGATGAGCGCTCGTAATAAGCCACTCCCCTGATTTTTCGAGCGCAACAGTTTCCAGTGCAAGTAAAATGGTAAACGCCGAGGTCGTACACATTGACCACATTGACCAATGCACGGTATGACACCCAAAGGCCAGTCATCAGAGATCTGCTTTGGGCATTCGGAGGCTTGTGCCTGGGGCCAGTGTAAAAACTGGATGTTCACAGTTCAGTATCCGCTTTATTTCAGTATTCACTATTAAATAAGTAAAAATCAACGTTGGAAACTTTTGAGGGTTAGGGCACTGATCATTAGTGGGGCCCCCTCTGGCTAAAGGCTGGCTATAGAATACAATACAGAGCATCGAACACGAAAGCAAAATCTAAGGCATTTTGGAAAAATGAGTATGCCCCGCAGCGTCCGATAACTACCACCTTCCAGTGGGTCAAACCAACGGGGTCCAAGTCTATAATGGCACTTAACGATAGCACTAACCTTGTCTCACTTTTCGTTGAAGTCTGTTCCGAATGGTTTCGGCGACAGACTGGCTGCACTGAGGTCGTTTGGTATGTGCAACTGCATAATTAAAGCCACCTGAGGCGCCCACACTAGGCTGAAGCTGGGTTGGAAATGCTTCGTCTTTGCAGATATCACTGGCCGCTGATTCTCGAGTGCCTGAACCGGTAGATGTCGTGGCAAAATTTGGTGTGATAATTTGAACCTTACCGCAGTCAGCGCACCCTAAAGTCCTAATAAAGAAACGCCCCCCCCCCCATAGCTTCTGCAGCCAGTCCACCGAATTCCTTCACCCTAGTCCGTCGCTCGACTCCCTCATCTCAGCCCTCCGTTCCCAGCTTGACGAGCGTTTGGGCCTTAGTTAAGCCTTGCTGTGGACTTACTGTAGGATAAACCCATCGAGACAGTCCGTCTCGGTGAGCTTAGTTGGCGAACTACTGCCTTGGGGTGATTCCAAGGCGATTCCAAGGATTCCAAGGTTTACGCTGGAGTACGAAAAACATCATCTCATGCCTTGGGGTGGGTTTCTGGCGGAAGTGCTGTCCCAATAGGTTTAGATGCGAACGGCTGTCGCTGAATGTTTGAGCGGTCTTCTCCCGCTGTTAGCTAGTTTCAGTTGATATCTGTTTTAGAAATACTTTTTAAAGGAAGGTTAAACGGAAATCGAACGTAAAATGAACAGGGGAAATGGTAACGAGTTACCTCATTGAAGAATAGCGCTCGCCTACTTCAAAAGGTTTGGCACCGTTCTTCAAATCTGATTTGCGATCGGCTATGGCACAATTTTTCCCATTGGAGCTTTTTTCTAATACAGGCTACAGCAATACGAAAATCGTTACATCTTCCACTGGCAGATCCAGGGAGCGAACATATAAAGCAAATATTTACTCCCCCTCCCCTTGCATCGCGCGAAATAGACAAAACGTACCTTATGTTTCCTAATAATAAAACTTTTATCAGAATGTTTTTTGCTTTATACTGTTCAGCAGACAGCAGTAGGTCCGTAAGGAATCGAAATCCGAGGAGTTTTTGGATTTTGGACACTTGGGGGGGGGGTATGTCCCCTACAGCGTCGAAAACGCCTTTCTGGATCCGCCTATGACATCATCTCGACTGGGATCTGGCCCCCCACGCCAAAATCGAATCCGCCGCCACTGTTCCGTTCAAAGCAAATGACGTGCCATCCTTCTCGGGATACTCAGTGAATAACGGAACATCCGCCGCGGAGCACCTATCAATAACTGAACATCGCCGGCTCATCGGGCGATTGCCACTCCAGCAAATAGGAACCTGCGCCGCCCCTGGAAACGTTACCGACCCAGTTAATGGAACAGTCGCGTTCCGCCGCCGTATGGCGTCTCTCCAGCCGAACCGACAAGGAGCTAGGTATACCATCACCGAAAGGTTTTAGTCTCAAACCACTTTGCTTGGCCTGGGAATCCCATAAATGGACACGGCTGATTAAAGTGCTGACATAAAAGATGAGATGGTATTGCGATACAGTAAATAGGGAAACGTATCAATCGGTACAGACTAAAGGTCATGTAAAAGTTAAAAAGAGCAAAAACACACATATTGCGACATGAAACAACAATTTATCGAATAATGATCGGATCCGACGTCAAAGCGCTCTTAAACTCCTCCAAGCACAGCTCATCGAGAGATGGTTATTGATTTAGTCACAGCCGCATTGATTCAGTCAGTAGGTGGTGAGTAAGTAATAGCTGAAGAGCTCGATGTCCTCAACGTCGAAGGCTGGAAGGCTAAAAAAAGATAGGCAAGAAGCTTTTGGTAATTGATTCTTTCCAGTGACTAGCGATGACCGATGGAGGCTGGTGTCGACCGTTAAATTCTAGCGCCGAGCCGTGCAAAGCCTTACGGATATCAACGAGAGGCTAGCCAGCAGTGACCGGCATCATTTGTCAGCTCACAGCCAGGAGTGTCCGAAAACAGGGCCCGAGGATTGCCGACCGCTGTAAATCCAGCGCGGCGACAGGCCTAATCCGGCGTCTGGCGGTGACATATGGGCAGAACAAGTGTGTCCGCCGTAAAGCCGACACGCCTCGGCCGTATGTTAGAGAGCATGTGCAGCGAAACAACGGCCATGTAATCATGCCGCAGACGGGACGGCGCGGCGGAGAGAAGGTCAGGGAGCGGCGGACCGGGGGGCACGGCTGAACGGCGAGCCGGCCCGGTCAAGGGGCCAGTGTAAGCGTGCACAGAAGACCGACAGGGCCGTGCCGCACTGGGTCAAATCGGGTCGGGTCAGGTCGCATCGCATTTTTTTTTTTTTTTTTTGTTGGGTTAGGCCCTTTCGGTCGACAAGACCAAAGGGCGCATCGCATTGAATCGAGCAGTATCATGTCGGGTCAGGTCGGTTTGTGTCGTACTTGAACGCCACAGGCCTTGATGGTCAGGGCAGCTCGGATCAGACCGGTGGGGATCCACGTTGGGCTGCTCAGTATGGTCGGCAGCACGGGTGACGGGCAGGGTCAGTGTGATCCTCACCTGGTAGGTAGGTATCCACTTTCGGTTGGTAGGTCTCATTCGAATCAATTTGACACTGACTTGGTAGGGGTCTGCGTTAGGCTGGTAACGCAGAAGGCAGCACTGATAAGAGGCCGGGTCGGGTCGACACTCACCTGGTAGGGGTCCACATTGGGCTGGTAGGGGTCCACGTTGGGCTGGTAGGGATCCACATTGGGCTGGTAGGCTGGCAGCACGGGAGACGGTGACCGCTGCTGGTGACTGGGAGAGTACGCCACTCGCCGGGGACTGCCACCCACCGAGCCGCCGCTACCCGCCTTGTGTGTGATGGTGTTCTGAAGATCGGCCAACAGCGAGTCTGAAACAGAAGGCCAACCATGGTCAGACACACGATTTAGTATATGCTAGCATTCGGGGCACGGATAATTGTATGCCATATTCGATGCAGATACGCTTTATTATATAACATTTCCATCGATGATGATGACTTGATGCAACAAAGCGCACCATGGGCACCAAGCCATATTGCATCCCAATCTAGCCTCACTCAATGGTGCCTATAAATCACTTGGAACCCGGAGGTCGTATTTTATTTTACATCAAAATGGGAGCTGCTTTATTAGGAAGATATTTGCAAGCTGATAATTTAGCATAGACGTTGGACAAAGTGCCAGAACAATTCCCTGAAATATGTTTCGGGTTAATCAAAATTCTCAGGAATCATAAAGGCGATGGTCATGGTAGGAAAGTAAATGCAATCCAAAGAAATCCTTTTAACTTTTCTCGATAACATGAGTAACTGGTTAGCATATTTATGCTCATGATAATGGCAATGCTAAAAAACTGTTTCATAACACAACAACATGTTCCCTTTCGCCCACATTCTAATTCCACTCATCATCTCATCTTCAGCAGAGAGCAGAAAAAAAATACAAGTCATTTGCGTCATTCAAGCTCGATGTAGATGTCGCACGTCACGCCAGTTGAAAGTGAGAAGCTCACACATCAAGAAGTTCACAGTTGAAATAGTTCAATATATAAGTACGAGGGGGTATCGAAAAGTTCTGATCATCACCACGAATGAGATGTGATAGAAATTTGATTTTTTTACATGATGTTCATTACTCCTTAACAAGTCACCACACACGACCGCAAACTTATTGCTTCGTTTCTTGAGCTGCCTCAGGCGGTCATTGTAGGACCTTCGCACTGTCCCGTAAATCACTGCTCCATCTCGTCAATGACGTCACTTCTGTCCTTAAATCACCGGCCATACTGTGGATTCTTCTTCTCCCGTAACAATCAAGAGTCAGTTAATATCCGGTCAGGTGAATTTCTTTAGATGCGGTAGGATTTAATGTCCACATCATGTTCTTTCTTCAATCGCAGCTCAGGACGAATGGGCGGGAGCGCTGTCGGTGCGGATAAAACATCTTTCTTGGGCTTTTTTGCGGCGATTCTGCTTGAGGCCATCTCGCAACTTCTTCAAAAGTGTGCAGTGGTGCTTGCCTATCATTATCCGACCATCATCAAGACAGTCGGTAATGACTATCCTACGCCAGATCCAGAACACTGATAGCATTGACCTTCCATATCGGCTTCTGCATCTTCGCCTTTTAAGAAGGACAGATGTGCCGTGCTTAAACTTCTTGATCATCTTTTTGTCTCTGGATCGTGCACATAGACCCAGCATTCGTCGCAAGTCATCAAATTATCGAAGATGTCTTCAATTTCCTAAAAAAGGCCTAGTCTTGGTTTCGAAGGGCCAAGACGCATTTTTCTCTTGAACAAAGTAGACACACGAACTTCTAAGCGGGCTGACTCCTTTATCGTCTGTAGTTCTTCGCTGATAATATTTTCAGGCACTGCCAGCATAGAGACCTTTCTGTTGCACAATCATCTGAAAGGTCACACGACGATCTGTAAGGATGAGGTCCTCCACTTCCTTCACAGTCACCACCTTGTCAGTCACTGGTAGCCACTCACTTCTTGACTCCCCTGCAAGGGCCATGCAACCAAGTTGAAAATTATTTCTTCATTTTCGGTAAGTGCATGAGATGGGCTTTCCTCGCCATAAACTGATTTCACGTTCTTGATGTATTTTCTCAGTGTGATACCGTTTCAAATGCATTAGTTGGATGACGGCTCGGTCCTCAATGGGCCCAATACTCATCTTTTTTACTTCTAAGTCTCTCCTACATAAGATAAAACCACTTCTCAGGATTCTCTTTGCGGGAACATTGTTCTTAAGAACCAAATATAATACCAACCAAAAATCATCAAAATCGATCCACATCTTCTATGTGATGATCAGAACTTTCCGATACCCCCTCGTACGCTTGGTAATTGACACTTGAAGAGGCACGCTAGCACCCCATAAACGATAATGATGTCAGCAATGTCACAGCCAATGGACACATTTGCATACTTTAGCTCGTTTTTGACGCAGCTGAATGCCGCATTGGAGGCCTCCGAGTGTTCAACCGAGCTTAACAATGTTAACAATGAACCGTCTCACAAAAGCGCGCCAAAACGCGGCCACTCCGCTGCAATGAACGGCTCCAATGTCCGTGGTCGAACAGCCGTGCAATTAAACCCACCGGGGTATCGACCTGGCGCATTTGTGAGCGGAGTCCAAGCCGCCGGACGGTTCACGGAATAGCTGAAGCAGCTCGGCGTATTTCTACTGCCGCCAACAACGGCCATGGCAGCGGCCTATCGCCACACAGCCAGAGACAGCGGATAAGTTGCACAACTGAGTACGGCAGGCGTCACGCAAGCGGGCGGAAGGACTACTACTAGTACTTATGTCGCGCTGTCATGCTCGTCATTTAGTGAATCCTCAAAGCATCACCAGGACGAAAAATTATGTTATTCTACCTTTTCATTTTTAAGCTTACCTATTTCATTGCCAATGGTTGTTTAATTTTCTCTTCTTTTTTTTTTCCTCCTACCTAGCCCGACTGGAGTACCCAAATCCCGTCTCCTTAGCAAGCACCCGAAACTCTGAGCTTGCATTACTGCACACTGTACCTCCGGGTGTATCCCACCCACCCCTCCATACCTAGATCCCCGACCTCTCCGATCCGCCTTTGTCCACACTCTGTACCTTCGAACGGGATCACACCCCCTCCATACCTAGATCCCCGACCTCTCCGACCGACACCATCGCCTCTGAGTCAATGGAGTCACAGGAGCCGAGCAGGAGTCGATCCTGCGGCAGGTGGTACAGCAGGGCCAGCGGGCGGCCCTCCTCCTCCGGGGCGGGCCGACGAGCCTCGGAGCCGCAGGCGGGCGGCGACCCGCAGGGCGTCACACAGATACTGGGCGGCGCCGCCCCTGCCCCCGGCGGCACAGGCGAGCTCTCCAGGGGCACGCTGAGCTCGTGACGCGCCGGCAGAGACTCCGGGGAGGTCATGATGAGGATTTGAGCCGAGCCAGCCGCGAGAATACAGCAAATCGCAGGGAGTCTCACTGGATCGTCAAAAGAATCTTCACTACCACCACAGTCACGGAGATGAACCAGTGACTGTTCGAGCTCGGTCCAAACTCGGTCCAAACGGTCCACTCGGGTGGCACAGATCTAAGTTGGACCCCGCAAGCAGCAATCACTACACTCAGACGCTGCACCGACGTTACGCGGACGACGGTCGCGGCGGCGTCGTGCCGCCCCAGCGACTGACGACGATCGTCCGTCGGCGCCGACGAACCTTATATAGGAGCTGCGTCGACAACGACACGGCCGCGACGCCGCACGAGAGAGCGCCGTATCCGTCTTCTAGAGCACATCTCTGGGTAAGGTTGGGTCTGACTATCCAAGTGATCTTAACATGATTGCAGTAACTGGGTGCTGGCTCAAATCAAGCTTCCATAAGCTATTCATGAAAATGCACAATATGTTGAAGGCATTTTTTTACCTTGGTGTGGCTGGAAATTGGTTGCTGTTGAAGCGAATATGCATCTACCAACGCCGTTTTCATTGTACACTACCTATGTATTGATGATGTAACCAAATGGAATGCAAAGGCAAGCCTTTTCACAGAACTAAGCCCAGCACATAACAGAACTGAGCCCAACATGTAAATGATAATGAGGATAAAACCGATAAGCATTGAACATTCGTCTTTAACTTCAGAGCAGCATGTAAGAGTATGACAAAATGCATATTGCTTCGCTTTCAAAACTCAATCAAACTCGTCGCGCGGGCACAAAATCGGTCAAAGAAAAAGCGCGTGAACACCTAAGTTTTTGCATTATGTTTTCAATACTGTGAAGCATCAGATCGAGAAACTTTTAAATTTATTGAATCATAAATTGTGTGGGGGCTCTATAGCGTTCAAAACTTTGCAAAAGTTCCAAGATTAAAATTTCACCAGAAGATTTGTATGCTTGTTCCAATGCCGCTAATCAACATCCGACATTGTCAACAACTAAAAAACTGTTGAGGGAACGCAAAGAAAACTGAATGGAGAACTTGATGAAGATACGTAACTTATATCTGAAGAACCTATTAATTGAAAAACGTTCTCTAATGTAACCAAAACTACGACCAAAATCCAGACTCCATTTCAGCTTCATTGTGTCTCGAAATGGAGCTCAGTCGCTGTCCGTCAGCCCGTAGCGAAGAACATTTTTCAGCGATTGGAGGCCACACTGCCTACAGGCAGGCTCTCGTTTTCAACTGCTCCACTCTCTATCCCAGCTCCCCGCTCTCTCTCTCTCTCTCTCTCCTTCACTCTTGGCATCAGCTAAGGGAGCCAATGGCTCATGAACACCATCACCCAGGAGGCAGGAGAGAAGCGCTGGCCCATTCTGCCGATTGCCCCCGGGTAAGTTCCAGTGTCCTGGCGCTGGGGAGGGGTAGTGTCTGCCCAGACCAACAGGTGCCAGACTCATGGACCGTGACAAACAGCCAGAGTGCAGTGCACTGTCAACCCTCAAACGCAAGGTCATCTGCCGAGAGCAGTAAGGCCATGGCGGGTGAATACGTTCGGCGCCGATTTTCACGTGCGTTTGGCTCACAATGCAGGAGGTAATATATTGATGTCACCCGTTTGGAGATGACAACAAAAAACATTACATATGCTGAACATCTAAAACACAGTGTGTCGATGCCAACGACGGTAGTTTTGTGAGACTAATTAACCGTGTCGTCAATAGAGAAATAGCCTGTATTTCATTCCAACATTTACCACCTAGCCCATTAACAGATGCATGTGGGTCGCCCACCCCGACCGTCATCTAGTCCGTGACGTCATGTCGTCAGCGGTATTTCACTGAACTGGTTTGCCATTCCATGGCATGCCGGTGCGGAGAGTGCAGCGGCCCGCTCAGTTTCCGGTGATGAATCTAAAGCAG